ACCTTATTTTTACATTACTATGCACCAAGGAAAAATATGTAGGAACTCCATATGTTAAGCATCACGTCAAAAAGGCAAAAAAAAAAGGAACAGAGTTCCCAGTACCAGTATTTTTACTTTAGCTGCCTTGAGATGGGATGACTGGTATCCTGTTGCAGTTGCAGAGATGGCAGTTGTGCCAGACTCGTGATGAACCAGAACAGTTTGTAAGCCTAGAATGAAACAGAAAGTCAAATAAATCTGATTATGGGGAAGAAAAGATGAAGCATACACTGCTAATCTCTTCCACTATCATTCTAAACAGACAAGAATTTTTTCCCCCTCATGACAGGTTCTAGGCACTGGTGGTTTTTTTTGTGTGTGTGTTTTTTCTTTTTCTTTAGTAGTGCACACTTCAAATAAATGTTGAAGGCAAACTGAAATATGACTGCAAATTACAGCAATTTTTTTAATCAAACTTAGATGTTACCAAATAGATGTAATCTTGACCTTCAAATAATTCAATGATCATTTAAATTAATTTGTACCGTGCATTTTCTTTTGACCGCTTCCATCTTCTTTCAGGGTCAGCTCCATCGGCATATCAGGGTCAATATTGGCTAAGGACATTTTTGTTGATTCCCAGACAAGACTAAGAGAACTGAAGTTATCAAATTTACTGCCTTGTTGGTCATACGCAGCCAAATCCAGTACTGGATTGCGATAATTTGAGACAGGAACCTGAAAAAAAATGAATACTTTGATGCAAGAGCATTTTTTAGTCATTAAAGGAAAAAAAAAGTATGTCGAGTTCCATGAGATTTATTATAACACTCATTACATGAATAATCTTCATTAAAATTAGCCATCAAAGCAAAGTCATCAAGCTGTACTTCAACAGCAAGGGTTTTTTGGGAGGATTTTTTTTTTTCCCTTGCCAATGAACTGCCTTAAAACAAAATCGAACTGCACAGTCCAACTACGTTGTCTTTGGAATTAAAGTAATGAAAACTACTGGTCTTTGTGAAAAGACACAGCTCAAAATTCTAGCGTTCATCTTGTGAAAGGCAGTAGTGGTAGCAGTGTATTGTCATAGCCTAACTGACACACAGTGGAGCTCAGAAAACAGGTGAACTCAGAAGTGACTTACAATAGGCAAAACGCTCATTCCCACCTCGCAGAGCAGGTCCTTAAAACGAGTTACCAACTTGATACACACTGCAGTTTTATGAAAGCAGGATGACTTTTATATTTGCCTCGTGACACTAACACAACAAAACAGTTTTACTCGGCAGCGAACACGTGACAGCACTCATTAGGACAGAGAAGGAAGAGTTCTTCATGCCTGACAACCAACACACAGTAATATCCATTTATTGTGCAAAGCTGAATACATCTGATGTCACTGAACAATACTCACTGTAGATACTCACATGGGTATCTTCACATCAGCAGCACTAGTGCCTTGACTAACGAGATACACACAGTAATGTACACTCATGTAATAAAATGTATGTGTTAAAATATGTCTCTGTACTCAAAATCTAATCTATACTCAATGGAATAGTTGCATTAGAATGAAATGGTAGAGGGACAAAATGCTGTCCTTAGAAACAGTTGCTGGGAACATTTCCCCCCTTCCTCTTGTGTTTTTTTTTTTTTTTTTAAAGAAGTTTAACTCAAGACAAGTGAGAAAGTCTTCCACGCAGTGACACTTTTGGGAGAAGCCACAATCCAAATGCTTTTACATGTAGCTCTATTTTCTGGGAGGTGCCTTTGTAAAGCTGTTTGAATGAGCACTGTAGGACACTCCCATTCAGGCTGCTCTCTGCAGAAGCAGGCAATGAGACCAGCATGGCCCACAACACTGGAGATACTCTTACTCTTGCAGCAAGTCAGATGTGTTACTTCGCAGGTGGAGGTCCAAACACAAATTTTCAAGTTACAAGAACAAATTCTTTTCCTACCACTTCTCAGGCTTACCACTTGCTTATTTTGTTGCAGCAAAGGGCAGGAGAGATCCAGCTGAGGACTTCCATAAACAGGAGTCAAGGTGAGTCGTGAAGGGACAGCACAGATGAACTTCACAACAGCAGGCTCAACCGCTGGAAAAGGGTTTGTGATTGTGGGGTTGTTTCCAACTGTTAAGGCAATAATCTGTACAATTATGAAAACAGGCAGGTCAGGAGAGAGAAAAGGATGACGAGATCAGACCTACTTTATAGGTCACAGTTACAGAAATAAGAGAATGAACAAGTAAAAATACGATTCTTTGGAATTTACAGCACCATTAAAACACAGGAAGATGTAAAAGGAGGTGTGTGCTTCCAGAACAGTTCTATGCCGTTACCATAAAGTATTGCCCCTGGGCTTGGATGTTCTACCAAATTGATTCAAACAGCAAATGTTTTGTAACTTAAAAAGCTAACAGACAGGTGCTTTTTCTTGCAGAGTGAGACCAGAACAGCCCAATGACACTATTTACAGTCACTTCAGTGTGTTTAAAAACATCTTATGTTTTGCTTTACATTCCTTTTTCAACCCTCAACAAAACAAAGTGGGTATAAACACCGAGGAGGCTGTCCCAGCAGGCTGAGGGCTTACCCATTCATGCACTGGTGCTAACCAGAACCACACAGATGTGGCCTGCTCGGGATAACTCTGAGGGCAGACACCAAGGTGTGCGTGGCGAGATGGCAACAACAACAAAATGCTCTTCCTTTTGGAATGTGCACTTACAGAAACAGCGACACTTTGTATGGTATAAACACCGAGGAGGCTGTCCCAGCAGGCTGAGGGCTTACCCATTCATGCACTGGTGCTAACCAGAACCACACAGATGTGGCCTGCTCGGGATAACTCTGAGGGCAGACACCAAGGTGTGCGTGGCGAGATGGCAACAACAACAAAATGCTCTTCCTTTTGGAATGTGCACTTACAGAAACAGCGACACTTTGTATGGTGTCCACTGAGGAAATCAGTTAAACAATTTGGCAGCCACACCAAAATGCTTAGGCCTTGCAGAATCACAGGAGAAAACCATTAAATCAACGCTAAATGCCTTATAGACTGGCCAAAGTGAGCAAAGCAGGATAAATCACTTCTGTGTGTTGGAGAAAACAAGACCAGGTGGAGAATGACTGCAGCCATTTTCAAAGAGACAGCACAAATATCAGAAGAGTAAATTCCTACTGCTGACATTTGTTTGAATAAACAGAATTACACTGGAAGGTAACTTGGCTAAAGAGAAGCAGGTCAGACAGAAGAGCCAGTTTGCTGCAGTTTACGCAAACTGAAGCTGCACTTATTAGGATCTATCTGTTTAACACATTCTACAACATCATGTTTCTGTGATGTGGCTTTATACTGCAGTAAACCAATCATAAACCACTTGTAACATAACGTTGTGAAATGCTCCCTCAAACCTGTCCCAGCATCAACAACGCAGAAAAGATATACTTACCCAAGTTCTTCACTGGCTTTTTAGAAAAACTACTTGTTATATAAAAGGTATATGGCATCATGAATGGGCTGAAGCCTGTTCTCATTTGCCTTAGCTCAGTTTTTGATGGAGGGCAACACAAATGGCACTTACTTGCTCTCCCAGGCTTTTGCAAGACACTCTAACCCAATGCTGGATGTTGTTTCGAGACGTTGGAGGCCCAAATAAAGATACACCAATACTTTCTCCATCCTCAGCGGTGATGTTCCTGAAGAACTTTGAAGGTTCTTGTACCCATGGTCTAGGTCCTCCCTCAAATAACATATCTTTAGAGGAACCCAAAGTCACTAAAGCAACAGATGGAGGATCAATAGTCTGTAATGAATGAATTAATTACAAATAAATGAATGTTTACATGGTTTGATTGTAAAAAAATCATAAGTTTGATTGTGTGAAAGAAACTTCCTTCTTAATGGTAGAGCTATCTTTGGTACTTTGGTTAGGCTATGACTTTCCCCACATAGAGATTTCTAAGCATGGTTACTTAAGTACAGAGTTGTACCACAATAACTAGCATCACTTACAAGAATTCTGCCCAGTCAGATTATGTTCAATGGAACTCACAGATCCAAAGAAAAGTTTCAACTACATTCCATTCACATCTCTTTCATGAAGAATTACAGCAAGAGAAAAACTCAATACACTCTTCTGAGCACATTCAGAGCAATAGTATTTGAGTATATTTTTTAAGTAGACAATACTTTAAATCAATGAAATAACGTCAAATTCTACATTCATTTGACAGCACTCTCTCCAGCACAGCTCTGTGCATGTAATTATTCTCCTACACAAGTTTTAATTCAAACCTTCACAACAAATTCTACATTGATGGGCATGGCCTGGACAGCCTGTGCTGTTTCTCATCACAGAAATTAACCTGACATTTGGATGTACAATAATCATTTGTAGATTGTGTTCCAAGTTACTTATGTTACTTAGGTGTTTAGTAAGAAAGACACAGCAGCTAACAAAGGCTGGTTCAATTCTTTCTGTAGGTGCATTTTGGTAGGAAGAGAGAGAAAGCAAGGCCTGGCATAAATGTTCCTCTTCCCTCCCATTTACTTGCTAGTCATATTTGTAAAATAAAGGTTAAAACTAATTGGAAAATTGGGAGATTTAGTCTTAAGCGTCTGTCTGCCCTTGGACTTTTTTTAACAGGTGACTGACAAAAAAATGCTGCCTTTCATTTCTGGGCATCATAAATGTTTCATTCGACAGAAAGGGGGAAAAAGAATGTAGAAATCACTGTTCTACACTTCAAAGAAGTTCTTTACAGATATCTAAGCATGGATTTTTTTTTTTTTAAAGCACACATAATCTATCCTCCTTGTCACCATGCATTGGCTCTATTAAGTACCCCAGAATCTTTTAACTTTATGAAAAGCAGTGTTGCAACATCTCAAGGGACTTTGTTAATAAATGTGAATGATACCACACATATGAAAAATTCCTAATTAAAAGGGACTATGCCTCTCTCACATTGCTACTAATAATAGAAAGTCTACACACTCTGTTCAGGATCTCTCAGCATCTTCAGATAATAATACTCAGCTCTTTAAGATATCTGACAGAAGCATATTTTAAAAGTAAAATCATCACTGCAGTCATTGCAGAAACTTTTGGTCAAGATCTGGAGGGAAAAAAGCTATGGTGAAAGGTATGACTTCAGCTTTACAGGTTCAGTGCTAGGTCTCTGAAGATGGGGGTAACGGCAGTGGATTGTTTCATCTTTCCATATATAGACCCATACTCAGGGTCGTTCTTTGTGTTTTCTTTAGTGAACTGTCCAACCATTAAATATGTTTGTCCCATTTTGAGGGAATAAGCATTTTTTTCAACTGAAAATTGAAAATTTTCACAGCCATGTAGGCTAGCCAGCTTTTCTTTCTTGCAAGAAGCAGTTTATAGACTATAAAAATAGAGATCAGAGGTTAGGTCTACTTCCATTTGCCATCAGGGACACAGGATTGTGTCCATGTGCAGATCTAGAGAAGAGCAATGAAGCTGATGAGGGGTCTGGGGAACATGGCTTGTGAGGAGTGGCTGAGGGACCTGGGGGTGTTTGGTTCAGAGAAGAGGAAGCTGAGGGGAGACCTTCTGGTTCCTTACAACTTCCCAGAAGGAGCCTGGAGTGACGTGGGGGTTGGTCTCTTCTCCCAAGGAACCAGTGATAGGATGAGAGGAGATGGGCTTAAACTGCAACAGGGGAGGTTTTGATTAGCTATTAGAGAGGAAGAATTTCTTTCCTGACAAGAGTGGTGAGACATTGGCCCAGGCTGCCCAGGGAGGTGCTGGAGTCCTCATCCCTGGAGGGGTTCAGATAATGTGTGGATGTGGCACTTGGGGACACGGTTTAGTGGTCATGGCAGTGTTGGGTTGATGGTTGGACTTGATGATCTTAGAGGTCTTTTCCAACCCTAATGATTCTATGATTCTATTGTGACTTCTCCCTTATTAAGCCAATTCTTAATCAGTTAAAATGGACCATCAAGAAATTATTTGAGGCTCACGTAATTCTCTACCCATCTAGAATCTGCTGAAAACTATTTTACTAATTTAAGTGTGTTGTGCAACATAAGATACACATCCTCACTGGGATGGATGTCCTCCTATTACTGACCTATATATTTCTTCAGGTGACAGCAATGGTGACTCTTGACAGAAGTATGAAAAACGGGCAAGGATATCGAATTCACTTTGCACTTCAGAAGCCAAAACAATCTGCTGGTTCACTACTGCACTACTCACTCCTCTGTAGTTGGCTTGCAATATCCACGTAAGCAAACTCTACTACATACATGCTCCACAGAGAAAGGGTTAAAACACAGTTCCTCAGAAGAGTCTTTAATTTGTTTTTTCTGTGAATCACCCACCCACCTCATTTGTCTTTAAAATACCTATTAATTACATCATATCAACTTGCTCTTTGTCACTGAAAGACATTTTAAGGGATGCATTGCTTTAGGAACAGTGAAAAAAGACTTACTTTTAATGGTAGATAAGCAGCAATGGTGATGCTCGCACTGAGGTGGATGTGGGCACGGGCGTAACTAACAACAAGTGTTGTGTAACCTTGAGCTTCAGCTTTCACTCTGACTCCACTACAAAAATCAGCAGTTGGCTTAAGCCTTCCTGTCAGATAAATCAGGAATATATAAATATGTATTTGGAGAGAAATCCCCAGGCATTTTAATGCAGGTTCAACATGGCTTTTCTTGACAAAAGCATTTCCACCAGAAGCAAGCAGAGATGTCTTCTCCAACCAAATCTGTAAAAATGTTCCATACTATCTGTCATCTCAAACTCAACACTTACTGAAGTCTCCAAGTCTCATAAACTTCTTTATACTGTCCTGAACAGGAGACGAGTTTTTACTCTGGTACAAACTAACAGAACTTCTCTCTCTCACTGAGTATTTTCATCTCATTGTCTGAAAATCAAACTGGCTTGAAATTAAGCACAAGTAAGTGACGCTGCTGAGACAAGCTGTCCTGCACCAAACAGGTGGATCTGTAGCAATACATCATTTCTCTAGTTGAAGGTGAGGTATTCTCATGAAATTTCTCTGCTTGCTTAGAGGATGTTTTGGGGTTTAGGAGGGTTCTATTTTTAGGTTTTTTGAAACAAACAATCCAGCCTACTACATAGTGACTTAAAATAGCTGCCTCTCAGTCAATCAGATAGTATCATGCAGGCTGGTTTTACCGGCTCAAACGCACAGTAAAGAGCTTCCATACAAGAGACACTTGGAAAAAAATTAATGGTACATCAGAATAACATACAGAATTCAGCTGACACAGGAACAAGCACATTGCTCAGTGTCCACTCAGCCCAGCTACGTTAATGGCAACCTCTAGAAATAACACACATAGTCCATAGTCTTAATAAACCTGACAAGAGGCATTTCTGAAAGCAATGAGCCCAACAATGACTTTGCTTTCGCAAAATTTAGGCAGCTGACTGCCTCAGTTCCTTATGAGCAAATAATGAACAGTGTCTTTATAGAACTGAAAGTACTGCTGGAGAATTTGGGCAAAGCAGTTACTAAACCTAGTGTTCTTATAAATCCTCCAATGCTACCTTGAAACACAATATACATAGTCCCCTCTCATGAAAAACTCAGCAGCTTTGTTACAGAAGCATGTTAAAAATACTGTATCAGTAAAAAAAGTAGGAAGATACATGGGATACTACACAATATCTGATGCTGCTGCCAAAACCTCTTCAGAGTCCCTCAAAATGCCAAAAATACTAAAGGGAAGTTCCATATCAAGTATATCATCAAGAAAAAAAAAATCCTTAAAATAAATATATCCTCAAAATAAAACTTCTCTGATCCCCACCTCTGAATTTAAGCACCTCTGTGGGAATACTGTAGACAGCAATTGAAACAGTGACTTAAAAGAGATGTATGACAGTTACTAACATCTTAATTTAACTTTCACAACAGGAAGAGGATCAAATCACCTTGAAGTGGTCTGAACACGCCAGAGTTTTCTGCTTCCACAACTAGATCGAAGTGTGAACAGTCACTCAGTGGGACCGTCTCGCCCGTTTCAGTGTTTGTCAGGCCATTAATCCTCAGGGGCAGCTCCAGTGTTTGGCCCACACGTGCTTCAACTTGACACGGTGTGAACTCCATGCCACTAGGTTCAGTTACATACACCTGAAGAAAGAAGCAAACACAGGACAGAGATGTAAGAACACAACCCCACAAAAAAAGGTACCAGAACAGAGAGAAATTAAAAAAAAGAAGTAGACTTTGATATGCTTTCCTTATTTTAATGAGCCCTCTTGTATACACCTCCCAATTGTTGACTTCCCTCTGGTGGCTGGAAACAACTCTCAGATTCAACATTGCTTTTGTGTTTACCTTTGCAGAAAGGTATCTGAAGGGCCAGGAAAAGCTTGCTGCCATTTCAGTGTTCTCTTCCCTAACAGGCCACGCTCACATTAGTTTGGTCAGCCTTTAACTGCTACTTCTATAATCATAGAATCATAGGGGTTGGAAAGGACCTCGAAAGATCATCTAGTCCAACCCCCCAATAATGCTGTCTTCTGCTTTGCTGAATTTCAAGTGTGGACTAAGTTGTGCAGTATCTCCAGGAGGAACTATCACCATTCAGGACAGATTTAGCATCCAATCTTGATTTTTGATTTTCAGCCTAAATATTTGTGCTAGACCTGACATGGTTAGCGAGGCTCCCCAGCCTGCATCACCCACAGCAGCAGGGATGCAGAGGTTGAGGGAACTCATGACCCAAACATCTCGTCCATGGCTTCTTTTTTCTTTTCTTTCTTGCATTTCTGTTGGCAAAACATTTTTAAAGGTGTCCAGGGCTCAACACTTTCCCATAGTAATATGTCAGAAATTGACAGTAAGCAAACAAATATCTACTGCCTAATCTAACAACCCTCTGCTTCAACAAGTAACCTTTATGTGAGAGGTACTTTAGAAATCAGAAAGATTACTTTCAAAAATAAGACTGGCAGAGACAGATCTTCCATGTTGTGATAGCTGGTTGTTGATGAATGAGCTGTAATGCCATGATCTGTTATTCTGATTTGCTACTTCTTCCATTGATGTTAAGAATCCATCACAGACTGACTGCGTAGTTTTTAACAATAGCTGTGATCAAAGTTTTTAATTTTCAATATCTTAACTTCCCAACCATCTGAAGGGGCTTCTGGATACAATACTGAACCATCCGATGCAGAGTTAAAAATGTAATCCTTGGGGAACTTAAAGTTAACTCTTCCTAAACTTGCTCAATGAGGTCAGTAAATGGAACTCTTCAGAGTTATTATACAAAGAATGCAATTGCTAACACAAGAACAAAGGGCTTCAAAAATAACCTGGTCAAATTGTGCAATGCACTGCTCTGAAAGCTCACATGGAGAGAAGTATTTTCTCCGTCTCCAGGCTCTGACTTATGTTTGAAAATAAAAAAAAAAAATGTAAGAAAATAAAAAAAGAGGAAAAGTATTTGTTTAAACAGTGCTCTCTTCATTCTGGGACAGACTTGGCAGTCCTGACCAAACACATTTTTTAACACTTTTGTCAAAAGGGACTTGGGCACACAACAGCACTGAGCAGAGTTCAACAATAACACAGGAGGGTACGTAAAAGCTGGGAGGAATTCGGTCCAGCTGACAGGTGGATATTGGATGCAGTCTGCTTGTTCCCCACCAGCTGCCATATTACAGGCATGCATCCTGGAAGGAAGGTGCACAGCCCCAGGGCTTGAGAGACATGCTTCCTACATCAACCTCAACGCTCCCTCAGAAATCAAAGACCACCACCTTCGTAAAGCCTTAGCCAGCTGGAGGTTGTTTGCCAGCCTCAACAGCACCCGCCTGGCACCAACAGCCCGACTCCATTAGTGACTCTGCAGCTGGGCGAGCAGGGGCTCTGGGTGATCGCTTAGATCTTCAGCGGGCAGGAGCAAGTTCGCTCTTCTCTGTCAGGTTCTCACTCCGATGCTTAGCTCTTTGCAAAATGCTCAGAGTTCAAGCACAGGCTAAAATGCCTGAATTTGTGCAGGGGGCAGAGCAGTGCTGCTCCACAGTAATGGCCACATGCCCCAGTGCTGCCACTGCTGCTTTCTCTTCTACCATGTCACCAGTCAGGCAGTTCTCAACAGCTTGACACAGAGAGTAAGCACTGACAGTTCTCTTAAAGGAGATTATCTGCATCCAAAGGACACAAGGAGATGTTTCCGAATCACAGAATCACACAGAATGCCAGTGTGGTGGGCACTGGAAGGGACCTCTGGAGATCATGTCATCCAACCCCCTGCTCCAGCACGTCACCCACAGCAGGATCACATCCAGGTGGGTTTGGGATCTCTCCAGAGGAGACTCCACAACCTCTCTGGGCAGCCTGCTCCAGGCTCTGCCACCCTCACACTGAAGAACTTTTTCCTCCTGTTCAGATAGAGCCTTCTGGATTCCAGTTCATGCCCATTGCCCCTAGTCCTGTCACTAGGTACCACTGACAAGAGTCTGGCCCCAGCCTCTTGCCCCTGGCTCTTTGTGTATTGATCAGCATTGATCAGATCCCCTCTCAGGCTTCTCTTCTCCAGGCTGAACAGCCCCAGGGCTCTCAGCCTTTCCTTTGCACAGAGACATTCCATGGCCCACCCTCAGCAGTTCTGTAGCCTCCCCTGGACTCTCTCCAGGGGTTCCCTGTCTCTCCTGAACTGGGGAGCCCAGCACTGGACACAACACTCCAGATGTGGCCTCAGCAGGGCAGAGTGGAGGGGCAGGAGAACTTCCCTTGACCTGCTGGCCACACTCTTCTCAATGCACTCCAGGAGACCATTGGCCTTCTTGGCCACGAGGGCTCATGGCTGGCTCATGGGGAACTTGCTGTGCCCCCGCACCCCCCGGCCCTTCTCCTCAGAGCTGCTTTCCAGCAGGTGAGCCCCTCACCTGCACTGGTGCAGGGGGTTCTTCCACCCAGGGGCAGGACTCTACACTTGCCCTGGTTGAACTTCATGAGATTCCCCTCTGGTCAACTCTCCAGCCTGCCCAGGTCTTGCTGAATGGCAGCACAGCTCTGGTGTGTCAGCCACTCCTCCCAGTTGTGTACATCAGCAAACTGGCTTGAGGGTCCATGCTGTCCCTTCATCCAGGTCATGGATGAATGCTGAACAAGACTGGGCCCCGCACTGACCCCTGAGGAACTCTGCGATGTACAGGCCTCCAGCCAGACTCTGTGCCCTTTGAGCTCTGTTGTTCATCTGGTTCTTGATCCACCAACCAACAACATTCTTAAGACTGTAGATTTACAGTGTTAGCTGGTGTTAACCAGAGCATCATCTTCACCTGCCTGTGCACACCGCTTCCTGTGGGGCCATTACACATACTGTTCCTGCACTTTCTTCTCTCCATACCACAGACTGCTCACCCTGACCAAATCCTAAGAACAGGGTATGATTTGCCCTGAAAAACCCCTCTTGGGAGGGATATTTTTCATTCCCATTTTCTCATTATTTTCCTAAAACATTCTTTTTTCTTGGCCTGCTTGGGCATCTAAAGCCATTATGTGGCACTGTATTCCTTTCAGCCACTTCTCCAGGCAGGAATTTCATTGTGCAACTTGATGATATCTGTCACCCTTTTGTGTCGAGGGAAAACACACACCTCTTACCCTGCACAAAGTGTCTTTAGTTTGGCTTGTCTGCTTAGATGGTTAGGCTAGTAGTAAATTACTATTTCCATCTTGTACTCCAAACTTTCAACAAGGAAAAGTAACTTGCCAAGGAAATCAGGAAAAGGGAAAAATAGGAGTAATATTAATGCAGTGGAGAGAGCTTGAATCCCCAGAAGCACAAACCCTAAACCTCATCACTTAACCTGCCACAGGACAGGCAGGGAAACCTCCTGTCAACATTTTGGAAAGAGCAATTTCTATGGTATTCTCAGCTTCTTCACTGTTTCCAGAAGCCATATTCAAGAGTGAGCAGGTAAAATAAAGAGTTTTACCTTCATTTCTCCATAATGCAATGGATTCTGAACATCAGTTGCCTGAATAACACTGACGCCAATATCACTTCCAGTTGTCATCACTCCTTTGACTGTCACTGTAGCAACTGCCTGGTTAGAACAGGACCAGCTGAAATTTCCACTTCCACCATGAGCCTAGAATACAGAGAGAAAATCTTTCAAATATTTTATAGTGTATGGTGCTCACATTTCTTGGCTGTCGAGACTTTGAATGCCTTGCATGAAAACCAGAGACACACTGAGCAACAACAGGGCTGTTACTGAGGAAATACAAACAACACTTCAGAACTTTCAAATAAGCAAGGTGAAGTAAGAGACGAGAAGATTACCACCCTTCATTCATTTTAATTTCAGCTTTCTACGTGCACATGTCCTACGTGTTCAGCAGTGCTGCTAAGCCAGATAGCTCTCTCCCACCTGCAGAAGTTCGATGCTTAGAGCCAGGAAAACTTTTCGCAAATGGCCGCACTGGAGGCCTGGCATGTGGGATTACCATAGTTCAGAAAATCCCCACTCTTTCTCTGTTGCTGACAGCCAAAGGGCAGATTTTGGGTCTCATATCTAGTAACCTGACACTCTGTACCTGATAACTTCTTTCAATGGAAATTTTTCAGGGATCTAAAGGGGAAAAATAGGTGGGAGGCAGGGAAGGAATGAGGAAAGAGGGAAAACAAAAAAAGAAAAAAAAAGTAATTATCTTCTTAGGATCATTAAGACTGGAAAAGACCTCCAAGATCATCAAGCCCAACCGTCAGCCCAACACTACCATGACCACTAAACCACGTCACAAAATGCCATATCCACAAGTTTTTTGAACCCCTCTGGTGCTGGTGACTCTCCCACCTCCCTGGGCAGCCTGGGCCAAGGCCTCACCACTCTGCCAGGAGAGAAATTTTTCAACATATCCAATTGAAACCTGTCCTGGCGCAGCTTCAGCCCATCGGTTACTTGGTAGAAGAGATCAACCCCCACCTCACTCCAACCTGCTTTCAGGGAGTTGTAAAAAGCATTGGCATTACTACTTTATTTTTATGCTGAAAATCAGCACGTCTACCTGGAACCATTCAACAAACATGCTGCTCCACCAACTGCTCAGCCACGGAACGAGCAGTAGGCACGTATGGCAAGAGCCTGCTCCTGCCACAAGCACTGGGAGGGCCCAAAGCACCTGGGCTATGCTCCCACAACAGCTTTCCATGGAACAAGTCAACTAACAGCCAACTTACAAGCTCATGTTTATCATCCCATTAAAAACCCCACCCTTCTACCAGAGCAACCAGCTCTTGAGGAGTTGTTTCATGATTAGAAGAGCTTTAATGCGTGGAATTACGCTACAGAAGGGAAAGAACTAGTTATCTGATATAGTTCACATTAATAGAGACAAATTATTGTACCCACTGTATGAGCACTTGCAGCCCAGACAGGATAATATCTGCTGCAGGTTTATATTTTATAAAGTGAAGTGCTAAAAATCATTTTGACAATGCAAGCAGAGTATTGTCCTCCTAGATGTGTAATAATCATGACTGAAGAAACATAATCAGTGCACTGCTGTAAAACATGTAGGTTTTAGACATTGTTACTGTGAGATATGGGGAGTGTCTGGTGAGACAAATAATGAGCAGAAAGATAGACTGGGAATAATGTGGTTTTAAAGTGAGTTTAAAAAATAAAAAAAAATAAGACTTTCACATGCCAAAGTAAATGTCAGGGTTCTATCAGATTAAAACAAGGGTGAACACTGGAGTAATTTTTTTTCCTTACATGTACTGTTTTAATTTCTTTGAACTTCTTCAGCACTTGCTCTAACCCATTTCATAATTAAAGTAAAAACAAACAAGATGATAAATCTTGTCTAGAAGGACAGTATGGAAAATAAACAAATCTAAATTATGCAGGAGCTTAGCTAATAACTCTCACAGTGGGGGGGGGACAGAAGGAACAGACATTTTGCTTTTCCTTCCCACGAGCATGTGCACAACCCCATTACAAAAGGAGCACCAGACAAAGAGAAATGGGTGAGCAGGTAACGGTGTGTGACAAAAGGAGATACACGGGATGTGGCAAGAAGCATGTAAAGAATGTTAAAGAACATAAAAGTTCAGAATGTTCTGTAAAAATATTTTCAATTAAAGCAGAGAAATGAGAAGAAAACATAAAATAGAAACACCCAATTGCTAATAATTCTGTGGAGCCATATAAACCAGATGCATTACTAGCAGTCAGCTTGCACTGAGGAGAAAAAGGATAAACCAGCCTCTATCTCAGTGTAATCATTATCCACAGCCTTGTAGTTGAACTCCACAAACTATTACTAGTGACAGTGATGCCCTCCACTAGCAAAAAAAAAAAAAACCACCAACCAAAAAAAACCCAAAAAAATAAAACCTCCATGCATGGAAGGAAGGAAGGAAACAAATGTTGGGGTTTTTTTGGTCTTTTTTTTTTTTCCCCTCCCCTCCCTTCTTACATGCAACAGAAACCTTCTTATTAGCACAAATATGATCAAAGCAATCAACAAAAAAATCAGACAGCTGACAAAGTAAAACCTAAAAGTCATTCTGATACCATCTGGAAGGAGTTACTTTAGCTATAAACAGACATTGGCTAGATCCAAAAATCTCTTTTGACTTATTTTCAGAAAAATTCTATTCACCAATTTAGAATAGCCTGACTCAAAACCCAATGAGTAGGAGGCAAGCATTAATATAGAGGCAGGAACAACAGTCAAGCTGTGTGCTGTTGTAAACAACCACTGGCATCGTTGATTGGGCAGACTGGGAAAATGTTCTCAGTTTCAGTAAATGCAAACTAATTTAAATGTTGGGAGAAAAAAGTTGTTAGGTTTTTAATGAAAAAAAAAAATCACAGTAAAGTAAGAATACTGATGCAATTATTGGAGTAATATGAAGGAATGTGCTCTAGTGAGATATCTGATGATATATGCAAGACAAGATGAGACAAGAATAGAATTGTGAAAGAGGTGGGTAACAGGAAAACACATTTACTTTCCCTTAGTGGAAAACTCTGGCAGGAGTCACAATGAAGTTCTGAAAATGCTTACTTGTACTAAGACTTCTTATCACACTCTGCTGGTGTGGTTGGGTATAGCATGAACTAAATCAAACATCCCACAGAAATTGAGTACAGATGACAGCACGAACCTCACGGTGTCAGCTTCAGCTCTGCCCCAGAGCAC